CTGGGGTAATAATTACTCTGCTTGTCTGAAGAGGGATATAGATAAGATGTATGTTCAGAACCGGTTTTCAAACCTTTGATCTTTCGGCATGTCAGTTCCTATTAAAGTCGGGTTATCTAGTGCATAGGAAATATCAGCGGGGTTGTAACTCAAACCCGAAAAAAAAACATTGAGCGGACCAGTACTCAGAACCATATTTATGTGCACAAGTACAGAACATTATTCTCAGGAGCAAAAACTACAATCATATATCTGATGGTATAAAACAAGTGTGTTGTAAAAAAGAACTTCTGGCCACTTTTAAAAGAGACCTTGATCTCAAACGGTACGATACGTTTCAAAGGCCAATGATAATTAAAAGGTAAGGGAAAGTAAGTCCATTTGGGATTCAATATCTTGAGAAAAGCCTATGATTCAATGAATACAGTCAGAAACATAATCTCTGCTGACTTGATTTTGCATCTTCAATATTGTTTCAAAAGATCGTACTAACGGATCGAACGACTACGATGTGTAGTCAGAGTCTCAGAAAAAAAGTTTTGGAACATATAAAAGTTGATGAAGGCCTATATCATGTCAAAATCATTATCGCTGGATAATATTTCCAATAAAGGTTAATGAAACTCAATATATCCTTTGTAGTAGCACTCAAAGCATGAAAGAGAGGATGTAAAAGACTAGGCATTTCTATCCAAGCTGGGAACTTATTTACAATAAACTCTGCTGATAATCAAGTCATCAGCCCAAAACTCAATAGACCCAAAATGTATCATTTAAAAGCTGTTGGTTGGTATGTATACTGTATACTGTATATGAAAAATTGCGATCATAGGTCACTGAGAAAAAAGCTTTTTGGTCCGAGGCGAAGAGGAATTTAAAAACGATATGGAAAAACACGGTTGCAATGGAATAGACAGTGATAGAAATATGAGTTCGCATATTGTCCACGTTTCTCGCTGACCGCACAATACGTCTTAGTGAAACAGAGTTTTTTTGGTCAACTCAGAAGCAGACTTTGAAGTGTATGTATAGTTTATACAAAGTCAATCCGAATAGCATAAAAATTCTGTAGGCGGCATCTTCTTATGAAATTAAGCATATGCTTGCAACAACCTAGGAATTCCCAAGAACGAAGAATTCGAATTCCTAGGCTGTTGCACGCATATGCTTAATTTCATAAGATGCCGCCTACACAGTATTTATGCTATTCGGATTGACTTCGTATAAAATATTTATACATAAATGATGAAATTATGGTTGATACAGCGGAGAAGTAACCTTCGTTCTTAAATCATTAGAATTAGGCGAGCATGAAATGAAATTTTGCATACAGAAAGACAACAGTGTCATTGGTGGTTAGAATTCTATGTGGAGAGACCAAGATTATTACAGCTAAAATGAAGAAGAGATTCGATCAGACGTTGGTGGAGCCGGTGCTATGCCCGTGAGGAAAGAATAAATCAGTTAACTTAATGGAAGACTCATCCTGTGTTATTTTTTAGGTCTCCTAAAAGGAGCTGGGCTTTTCGAGCTGGGTAAAGCAAATCAAGCTCCCTGTTGCCAGTTTGTTCCTTAGATCCCTGAACATCAGGTTGAAAGTCAAATCATCTGTGGCGGCGAGCGATATCCGCCGAAATCAATTCGGACAAGCACAATTGGATCACAATAGTTTACATAATGCCATAAATATGAGTCTTCTATTGTGTTGACTATTAAATAGGTATATTCTTTGGCTGTGAGTTGTGAGGTATAGACACTGATAGAAAAAACTAAATGAAGGCCAAGTTGAGAAGTGCTGGAGTATCAAGAATATGAAGAAGGAAAAATTAATAAATGATGCAGAGACTGAACGCATTTGATAATGATGATGACCAGATTAAATAGACATAATTAGGTTTGATCATGTATTATAATGAATATGCCAAAAGATTGTAGCAACTGAGAATCTAGTGACAAAAGGATTAGACAGACTAAATATAATTTTTTTCTCAGAAATGTGGAGTTGAGAATCAGAATAAGCACTTATCATATCTAAATTATTATTCAATAACATATTCATAAAAAATCAATACCTAAGATGAAGATGGAGAAAACATAGTACCTATTAATTATTCATAAAAAGAAAAGTGTATTTTTTTTTATTCATAGGTTTTTTATTTTTTAAATATAGAATAATTCCAAAAATACCTAAGTAAGGTTCGTTTCACCAGGGTTCATACTTGACCTTGAAACTTGAAAAAAATGGGTTGTCGTAGATTAATTCATATGACACATTCAATTTTTTTGACAAATTAAAATGAATGACTTCTGGTTTAAGAACCGACGAACATTTTTGACGTCATTGATTCGTTTCAGTCAATTTTTATTTGTTAAACAAGGAAGGCAAATGCTGGTGGCAAGTACAAACCCTGGCGAAACAAACTTTACCTATCTGCAAAAATCATGATAATCAGATATGTAACGTGAAAAAAAATCATGTTATCTGGAGACTTTCTACAAATATTTATGTTTATTTAGAATAATTTAGATACATAGTAAGTTAATTATTTTATCCCATTTTGACGTTTAAAAATGACATTATTGAACGCATAATAACAAAGGTAAGTAGACGTTTATCACCTGAGTGATTTAAAATATTTTTAACTCACTCTCGGTCTTTTAAGTCACTCTGCCAGTATAGAATCTGCTACAAATACAAACAAACAACTAGTTATCGCTAGGGCTCGTGGGTTAAACTTTCTTCTCATAAATAAACATTCATTTAACTCACTTGGTGTATAAATAACTATTATTCCTCAACAAGAGCACTTAGGCACATGGATTATAGATTATTATTGCTTGTATAAAAAACCGCAACTGACAACTATGACATAACCGAAAAATTCCCATCCCGAGGCGAGATTCATGATTACCTATCAATGTCAAGGCTTGTTTTTTCTTAAAGTGATCATTAGCCTCGACTAACAATTATATTTACATTAGTGTTTATTGCTCAAAGAAAAAAAACTCCATCGGCCAATAGAATAAAGTATAATAGTCAGTTTGTATCCTATAGCCTAATAAGCAGATTATGTTAGTTAATGAAATAAGTTAATAATGATTAGTGAATTAGAAAAACTAAATGTAAGAAGAGAAAACAATCCGAATAAGTATCAAAGAAGTTTAGTGTGATTTTGAGATTTCACTTTCCTATTATCTTAGAATTAATGGAAAAAACGCCTGTTATCGCATGACTATTAAATATAGTATTTAATCCAAAAAAGTTTTTATTAAAATACATACCGGATTAATCAGAATATAGAAAATGATATATGAATGCATACAGTACAGGAGCAATCGATCAAATAGATAATATTCTTCCACCTCCACTATAAGGGCCATTGAGCATATTTTTAGCTGAACGGTTTTATCTTAGCTAGCAACAGTTCACGTAATGAACACTCAATTCTTAAAGTATTTTCCGAGGTATTTTCAGTCAAAAAACCATATATGTATAGCTGACAAAAATGTCATTAAAAATTAATCCATTTATTGGACTAATTACTTATACTAATATCTTGACAAACGCCTACATTGAATTTTTCACTGAATCTGAATAATAGGCATAGGTCAAATAAGTAAAAATAAATTGGAAAAATTATTTTTCTTGTAGGTATAATATTGAAAGAGTTGAATACGTTTTATGCATAGTTATTGGAATTTCTCCTGAAATTTCTAGTTGGTGCAATAGTTTTCATGGCAGCCAAGCAAGTAAAGCCAGAATTTATTGGAAACTAAGGCCTAATGAATATCCTGAATTCTGAATCAAGTATTAAGATGAATTTGGACTACACAAGGAACATTATTTGTTTTTATGAACTACCAATTTTCAGACGACTAGACGACACAAACCTGTTCACTTTTTAAAGGCAGCTAGTAATAAAATATATACCTAATTATGTTATGCAAAGCCTAATAATGTATTTTTAATTATAATTGATCCGCATAAAATTTAGAGTCTTTGAAGAACTGTGTACCTTATGAACTGATTTCTACACTAAGAAGCTCCCGCCACCAAAACCAAGTAATAATAAAAAGGAATATAAATCAAAATAAAAATTCCCGAAAATAAAAATAAAATGCAATGTGAAACCAGGCTGCAAAATTACAAATATCCAAATTAACAGACAGTAAAAGGAGATAATCCAGCTTCTCGGAAATACCTCTACTGACAGCACAAAATATATGATTAGTAAAAAAAATGTATACATTCTCTTTGTACAGGTAAATTAAAAGATAAGGAGAACACTTATGCTCGCTTATAATAATGCATGTAAAAGAAGGTTAAATTGGTTAATAATATAAAGGGAACAAACAAACTGACAAAAAAAATAAAAACCAACCAAAAAAAAAAACATGCAAGGTAAGATGCTGTATTTAAACACAATGTTAGATTGGGGTCAAAAATAAAGTAAAAAAAAACAAAATTAATTCTTTCACCAAACCTTTGCGACTTACAAAAATATGAAATGCTGCGTTATCTGAGTTTGGGTTTCCTGATTGGAGTTAGAGTTGGATAATTGATCCTAGGGTAAATAGAAAATAATAACCTAATTGATAAAAAATAATAAAACTCTAAACACAGGTTAAATAAGCGAAAAATAAAACATAATAGAAATTATAGAGTGAAATTGATTTGGCACAACCATACGCAGGGAATGGTGTGTGACTACCCAGATTAAATTTCGAATTACATTGATTCAATACAGCATCTTACTAATTAAAATATATATGAAAATGTTTTTAGAGCAAATCTGAACATTGACATTCTGAAAGTGAATTCAAATTTATAACGATTTTACAAAATCAGTCAAAGCATATTAATAGAATATGACTTTTCAAACATTATTAATTTAATGCACTTCAACCAAGAATCGACAATAAATTTTAACTGATTTTATCATGCTAGGTGAACAGTCTTAATATTTAAATCAGAAAATAAACTAATCTTGAAAGCTTACCTCATCAAAGAACACTTGTGTCTTACGTAGGATTTGTTTTAATTCAGTTAGCTCGAGAAAATTTCTTTTCAAGGCTTCAGCATTTTGGTTGACTTCACGAAGTTCATTTTCAAGCTTCTCAAACGTCGCCTGAGAAAAATCAAATACACATTGATGAATAGAAAAAAAAAACTAAAAATTGAAACAAAACACATGCCTCCAAATCTATCATTTCTCTTGGTTGAGGGGCCTCAGGATTTTCCCCAGTATCCAACATAGGGATGCCATCTTTTTTAATTTCTTTTTCCAAATAACGGAGCTTCCTTTCCATTTCGTCGCATCTTCTGACTTCATTAACAAACTTCCTTTGGAACACATTAACGTCTGGATTGAGCTGAAAAGGACCAGAAAAAATTCTTAGTTATGTTTCGATAAATTGTTAAAATAAACCTATTAAATTTTATGTACAATGTACAAAAAATATTTGGCGTTCGTTTCGGAAATTGTCTATGACGTCTATAAATGTTATGTCACATTACATCTACAGATGTAATATGACACGACGTCCATGGTCGTCGTCCAAATGTTTACAATTTTTTTTTCTTAGAACTGCTTTTTTGCCTAAACTATATGCACTGAAAGAAATTCAGCAGTTTACCTATTCTACTTTGCAAAATACATAGAGTGTCACAACACTTATTACACAATCGAAGCACTGTCCATCAACGTGTTAACAACTAAATAAATGTATTTATTTTTTTTGATAAAATTCCTTATATATACTTGCCGGAAAGGGAGTGCGGACCTTTTTCGGCATGTTCAAAATGGGGTCGACTGCGCGTTATTAAACGGCTTCCACAGAAATTACCATGCATAAATTACCAAAAACAAAAATACCTACATTGAAATGCAGGATACTATGAGCTATCAAATGGCTGAATTTTACAAAAAAGTTGAACTTTAATTTGTAAAATCGTTAATTTTAAAGTTATCGGACCACTTAAAAAACGCAGTTATAGCAAATTTATTCAAGATTTAGATAGTTTCTGAATAATTGAAACTGGATAATCCGTTCTTTACCTGACGCACTAGTAAGGTTACACCCCTTATTTTGACACTCTAGCTAGAGGGCTAGACTAGGGCTGTCCTGTCCCGCGGTTTTTCAATCACCATACCCTGACCAATTTTATCAAAAAAAAAATATATTCAATTTCGTTAAGCCGTATTAGCAGCGTTCTACAACTGCCATTTTTTTTTTTTAAAAAACGCCCCCATTCAACGAGCCCTCCCACTAAACTGCTGCAAAATGAGATTCCGAGTCACTCCATCTGAACAAACTGTCAAAATTTAAAAACTTTACTACTTTTTTCTCACAAAAAATATCCATTGCCTGTTCTGTGATCAAAAATTGATGAAAAGAGCTGATAAAATAGCTGTAATGTTAGTCGTTCTATTCCACACATTTCAGGGTTTGCATAGAATTTCCCCAGGTTATAAAACCCAGTGGGGTTTTTCGGGTTTTTTTCAATTGATAAAACCCACCATTATTGGGTTTTTTGGATTTTTTTTTGAGTAGCAAATTTTCAGTTGAATGAGCGTAATTTTCACAGGAAATATCAGGGATTCCCCGATGATTCCCCAGTTGCTTGCTGTTCGAGTTTGGCGTGGAGGTCTGGGCAGGGACTCTGCCATGTAGAATTTAGAATTTGACGTATCGGATGTGCCGAGTCTATAGAATCCTGTTGATATGTAGAATTCTACATGACACGATGTCCCTGAACTGGACAGCCAGAGGCGTGGTGCAGTGCGCTGATGCCAAGTGTAATTATTTATATCCATTTTATATCAAGTGGCTTGCTTCATTTTGTAAGGATATTTTATTTTTGCAACAAAAGTCATAATTTTTGTAATACTTTTGCTCTCGACTTTTGCTGTAGCAGAAAATAGAAATCAAAAAAACCCTCGGAAAGCCCGAAAAAACCCAAAAAAACCCATAAAAACACGGGTTTTTTTCCAATCCTGGCACATATAAGTATGCAGTCAAATCAGTGAATGGTCTTATTGGGGTAATCAATTGTGTAAAATATCCTGGGCAATCACTTCAACTACCTACATCACGAATTAGGTGGAGCACCATCATGCTCATCCAAGATACCCCCGTCTTAAATTGTGGTTAATTGAAACTTTTATTCAACTTTATGAGATACAGGGTGTTCAATTTGAAATAGTTGAGAATTTTAATGTTGAAAACAACTAAATCTAGGTGTGATAGTTTGGAGATGATAGGGCATCAACAGTCTTCAATTGGGGCTGGACCCTCAGTAGATCTTGCAAAGTGTTGTGAACCCACTGCCACAGATGACTCAGTTACTCTGGTAAATGAAACAGTGTGTTGAAAGACTGCATCACCTTGGATAAAGAAATGGAAACTGCGAGACATCAGGTGAATGCTTCTTATTGTGTGCCCAGAAAATGCATTGTTTATGGTCCAGCGCAAGATCCCTGTCCACGACTATGTCTAAACTTGTGAATTCATCTCACATGATAAAAGGGTATGTTTATAATGGTCTCAATATGAAAAATCTTGTGGAGAGGATGTTCTTATTATCATTTGATTTGACTGAAAATGATACAATTGTTGTAAGTTTAAATTTAAATTTTACATCACCTAGCATCGCTGATATTGGGAGGATCCTTTCTATGGGTAGTACTACGAATTTAGTACCTATTGATATTGAAATGTAATTTTAAGGATTATCCAGATGCAAGATTTCATAAATTGAGTGGGTTTGTATCAGAATATGTTCAAAAAAATAATTGTAGTATTAGACCGAGTATTAGACTAATTTCAAATACATGACATACATTTTGGTCGCTGAGCAAACTATTTGCATTGTATGTTGAAACTAGTGCAGTTCTTGGTAGAAAAATAGTTTTGAAATCGGTTTCGATTCCCGTTGAATGTAGTGCCTCTCCTTTTTATGTCCAAAGTTTAGATAGTAATTTCAGTAATTGTATGCACGGAGACTTGGATAATATTGAAGTTCAAACAAAAAGCCTCAATGCACTAGTTAATACACTTTTTTTAGACAGGGGTCAAGTGGTAAGAAACTTGACCTAGTGTTGTTAGATATATAATCTTTGAGATACAAAGTTTCAGAATTAGAATTGTTGTTAGCTGATTTGGACTACCCAGGCATTGTTCTTCTTACTGAGCACTGGTTAAGGGATGATGAGCCGATATTTTTTGCATCAGTATAGTTTAATATATAGATTAGGGCTTGGAATTTTTAAAATTCAAGTATTCGAATAGTCGTTTGGTATTTTATTCGAATAGCTGAATAATTCGAATAGTCGAATATTCGAATACCTATTCGAATAGTCGAATATTCGAATAGTCGAATATACGAATATTCGAATAGTCGAATATACGAATATTCGAATAGTCAAATATACGAATATTCGAATATACGAATATTCGAATAGTCGATAATACGAATAGTCGAATATTCGAATATGTAGTCAAAAAGTCGAATATAAATAGTCTAATATTCCAATAGTCAAATATTCCGATAATCATTTATACTAGTTTGTACTTCATCGTACTGTTAGTAGTGGTCTATTTTTAATTAAATACCGGTAACCGGAATAGGTAACTATTGAAAATCTAAACATTATTTTATTCAAATTTGTAATGTATAGGGTTTTTTTTTAAGTGGGCTGGCAGATAGTATTGGTAAATAGTCCAATATTCAAAAAGTCGAATATTCGAATAGTCGAATATTCGATTATTCGAATACTTGAATTTGCTAACTAACAAAAAAGTCGAATTTAGAATAGTCGAATATTCGAATTATTCGAATACAATTCCAAGCCCTAAAATAGATATTGTAGGTCACATGCAGTGCATGGTGGAACACTCATAATGGTACAGCAGAGATTATTTAGTAGTAGTAGTATTTAAAATAATTAATGTAGATAGATAATATAATAGTTTAATAATTGAAAAGGAATTCGAATTCTCAATTGTGTGTTGTTTGCGACCATTGTTTTATGTTTTGTGTATCTATAGACCTCCTTCAAGCAATGTCAATGCGTTTTTTCCAAGATTGGAAAATCTTTTAACAAGCCTACCTTTGAATGCACTAATAATATTAACAGATTTAAATATTAACTTTTTAGATACAGGATCGGCTTCAGTGCAGACTTTGAATGGCTTACACTCCTCTTTTAATTTAAAAGTACATGTAAAGCAACCCACTAGAATTACTGCGAATTCGGCGACATTACTGGATTATATTTGTACTAATTCTGATGAAGGGAGAGTAAGTTGATCAATAGTTAGTGCGGGTCTTTCCGATCATGAGGCAGTTGTGTGTGGACTGGGGGTGGAATGTGACTATAGTACAGTTAAACTGCCAAAAGAGTACAAACGACTCCACTCTACGAGTAACTTTGAGACATTTTTGAGACTCTGTGAGCAGACACACTGGACCGAAATTGGTAGATATGATAATCCTTTGTCGGAGTTGCATTCTCTGCTTCGTTGAGAATTTTTTATAGATCTTTTCCGCTTAGAACCAGGAAGTGCAAGAGTAAAAAACTGTGGATTACAAAAGGTATAAGAGTATCGGCCAGAAATATGCGTTCTTTGCATTAAATTAAATCAGGAAGTTTTATTTGGGGAATGATGGTTTTATGCTTTTTTTCAACAAATATCGTAAAATATATAGGCAAGTAGTTAAAACCGCTAAGCAATTATATTTCAGAAATAGGATAGAAATGGCTGGTACTGGTAACAAACGAAAGGAATCATGGAGAATTGTTAATCACTTTAGAGAGAAAAAGAATATTTCACCAATGGACTCAAATTTGACTGCCACGGAAATTAATAAATTTTATTGTTTGATTGCGGCTTCTCTTTGTAGCGAAATTGGTTCTGGGACTAACCGTAGAGAATATCTAAGTCACATAAGCATATCCGAGTCTTCTAAATCCACTACAACACACGAAATCAGAGACACCTTAAAAGATATTAAAAATAAAAATTCTGCGGGATGGGATGAGATTACGCTGAGGTTCTTTTTGCATTTGCCCGAATCAGTTCTAGAGGTGTTTGCTGATGCTGTGAATCAGTCCTTTCAATCAGGTATTTTCCCTTGCTGTCTGAAACTTGCAAAGGTCTTACCTCTTTACAAGGGTGGTGACTGTGATACACCCTCAAGTTTTAGGCCAATTTCTTTGCTGCCTACAATGTCTAAAATAATAGAAAAGCTAGTCAAGGCGCGTTTAATGAGTTTTCTTAAAAAACAGTATTCTCTGTTGTGAACAGTTTGGATTTCAGGAGTCATGTGGCACAAATGAAGCAATTTTCGCATTTTTGGAGAAACTATATTTGGGATTAAATAATGGTGATGTGGCAGCAGCGGTTTTTTGTGATTTGTCAAAGGCCTTTGATTGTGTCCTCGACTGTGTCAATCATAAAATGGAAGCCTGTTGTATCTTTGATCTTTTACCAATTTATGTTTATTATAATTAAGTTTTTTACTAGTTTTTATCTTTATGTAAAATTTTGTTTTTTTTTTACTTTTTAAATTTATTTTAACTTGTGATGTTAGTATAATTGAAGTCCTATTTTTGTATGTGTGTTTGGATGCTTTTGCACTAAACACAAAAATTTTGTGACATTGCTTTTTCATGAACTTGATTTCGTTGGCAAGAAGGAAATAAATAAATAAATAAATAAAGCCTATTGGGTGAGGGGGATGTAAATAGGTATTAAAAATTCTATAGCTCTAAAGTGGTTTGAGTCCTACTTTTCTGAACGGGCACAGAGAGTTATTATTGATGGTGTTGTTTCAGAGCAACTGGCTATAAGTGCAGGGGTTCCACAAGGATCTGTTTTGGGACCTCTATTATATTTATTGTACAGTGTGGTCATTTTATCTTGATAACATTTCAAACTGTCATAATTTCTTTATTTTTAAAGTTATTCAAATAAATAAAAAAATATACTCTAGGGTTGTTTTCCAAGTTTTAGATAGGGTAGACAAAAAACAAAAGACTAATATAATTTGACAGTTATACACACAAGTAGCATTTTTTTAAATGGAACATCCGGTAAATTTTTAGTTTGTTTGATAATATGTTTCATTCTGATTGCAATATATACAATACAATACAATTGAATACAATTTACTTCATATTTACATGCCGAAATGTTTTATTTATTCTGATGAAAAATTCTGTCTACCTACCTACCTTTGCAGGTAATATGTGTAGGTAATCAATATTTTCAGTTAGAATAAATAAAACATTTCTGCATGTAAATATAAAGTGCAATGTATTCAATTGTATTGTATTGTATATATTGCAATCAGAATGAAACATATTATTAAACAAACTGAAAATTTACTGGGTGTTCCATTTGAAAAAAATGCTATTTGTGCGCATAACTGTCAAAATATATTAGTCTTATGTTTTTTGTCCACCCTATCTAAAACTTGGAAAGCAACCCTACAGTATGTTTTTTTTATTTATTTGAATAACTTTGAAAATAAAGAAATTATGACAGTTTGAAATGTTGTCAAGATAAAATGACCACACGGTACATCAACGATTTGTCTAGCATTGATATAGTTGGGGTATTTACATACTGTTTGCAGATGATGCCAGGATTCTCTGGGTAAATAAGGATGTAGAACAATGTGTTAACATTTAAATGTGGTTTTGAGGGAATTACTTTAGGGGCAGATACTGTTGCCAGTCAAAAATCGAGCACTCATTGAATCCCATTTGCGGTATGGAATATGTTTCTGAGGTTTTTGTTCACTGTCTCTTCTTAATATGTTGTTTGTGTTGCAAAAGAAGGCGGTAAGGAATATGTTTAAGATATGATTACGAGACTCATGTAGACCATTGTTTTTGCGTCATAAATCACTTACATTTCCTAGTATTTTTTTTACTAGAGACTTCATGTTTCGTTCATTAAAAGTTTAAGGAAAACATACACGAATTTTCATCTGTACATACCACTCGACAATCACACAATGTTAACCTTCCTTTCTTGTGACTTTGTTTGAATATACTTAGTTATGTAGTTTTATTTAATGATTTCTGTGTTTGTTGACTTTACATTTGTGCAATTTTGTTATTTCTTATTTTATATTTTAGAATGATCATGTTTTTGTATTTATGTTTATATTTATGTTGATTTTTAAAGTGACTCCATATTCTGTTTTAATGGTTTTGTTTTAATGATTTTATTGTTTTAGTCTGACCTTGTATTGTATTTTTATTTTAATTATTTTAGGCGATTTCGGCAAGCTTTGGTTGGTATACCATTTGGTTAACCAATTGGTACCTGCAACGTCATAGAAATGACGTTTGACACCATTTTATTCCGAATTCGTTTGGTAGGCCATGAGAGAGGGGAAGAGACCTAACTTTTTGTTGTTCTTCTAGTTTTGGGAGTGACTAGGTACTGACTAAAATCTATAATCACTAATCAGCACTGTCTAGACAGTACCTTTGAGCAGAGATGGGTTTAGACCGGGTTTTTTGGAAAAAACCCTAAAAACCCTTTGGAAAGAACCGGTTTTTTCGAATAACTGTATTTCAAAAAACCGGGTTCATTGAAACAACCCAGTTTATTCAAATTTTGGGTTTAAACCCTGATTTTTCTTAAAAAACCCAATAAACCCAAGTTTTTCATTTTTTGCTTCTCTAGGAAGACTTTTTAACCAAATCAAACTTTTAAATGATAATTATTAGGATAAATAATAAGTGTTTTAATATTTTTAAATAAACTGAATAAAAAAAAACAAAAAAATAAACTCGATACAAAAGAAAACAAAACATAAAACTACTACAAGTCACCTTAATCCTTGATTCTTAACCTAACCTAATACCTAAATTAGCTCGCAGTGCTCGCACTTGCATTCTTCTGGTTTTTTTTTGTGGACATTGGACACTTTTGTTTAACCTGTTTATAGAAAACTTGTTTTACGCCACCATCATGTAACTTTTTTTTTTTCCTAAAATACCCAAAAAACCTATTTTTCCTAGAAACCCCCAAAAAATCAAAAAGGGTTTAAACCCATCACTGAAAAAACCCGGGTGGGTTTAAACCCAAACCGGTTTTTTGGGTTTAAACCTAAAAACCCGTGGACCCATCACTGCCTTTGAGTTAACTATTGGCTAACTCAGCGTTTTCTGTAAATGTAAAGCTTATTCCATAATCCATTCAGCAAAAAAGTTACTCAATATCTGTTGTTCAAAGCCATTTTTCAAACGACCGTTAAACATTATTTGGCAGTCAAAACATACGAGAAAACAGGAAACTGAAGGCGAAAAAACTAATATATTTGTTAAAAATTTCAAATTATTCAAATTCTAATGAACTTTCATTATTTACATTTCCCAGAGTAGGACATAACGAAAATAGACGTAGATAGCACCATACCAAATGAGAAGACCAAAAAGGATACCAAAGTCACGGTGACGACATCACTTTCGTATCCGAAATTGGTTGGTATGCATTTGACAGACCAAACAGGGTACCAAACCATGTACCAAAGCTTGCCGAAATCGCCTTTTATTATTTTAAGCTTGGTACTGTATGGCCCTGGAATTATTTTTGTATACTTTTTATTTTTCCCTTTTATACAGCTTAGTCAACGAGAATTTTGTTCTTAGACGATAAAGCTTTTTTTTGAATAGAGAAATTGGATAGCACACCTGATTCAAAAGTTATAAGCCTCGTTATAAGCATTTTAAATTTGTCACTCTGAGGGTCACCCTTTGCTGGGACCCTGTATTTGATGTTGGAAATTTGTTGCTTTATTTTCAAGAACAATGAAATGAGGGCATGTCATGTATGTAAATCATACCGATGACACTAGACACTGGGGCTATAGGAAATAGAAAGTTACAGATACCATGATGGATAGTTATTAAAGTTTGAATTTATGATTTTTTTCTCTTGATATCACTAAAAATTTCAAACAAAACAATTTACAAGCATTAGAAATCTTTATAGAACTAGAGAATCAATAAGAATAAATTATCACTATCTATTGATTCATTGATTGTAACGATTTCGGTAACACATTAAAATTACTGTAAATGAATATATTATTATGTACATACTTAAATTGATAAATTGACTTGTTCATTGAAATAAAAGCTATTTGTTGGCATAACTTCAAGGCAAAATTAGCACCAAGAAATGTTAATCCAAGTGTTATCTTATAAGAAAATGCTTCATAAAAATCAATTGAATTTAGATGAACCTCGAAAATTAAATAACTAGTGAAACAATAAATATAAATTCATGAGAAATTATCTATTGTTAAACAAACAAACTGGAGAGATTTTTGGTTATTTTGAACAATTCCTTCCTGGCTTCTTTCAAAATATAAATTGTGATTATTAAAAAGTCTAGGAAGTTAGAAGTACCTTATGTGATAAAGACTAGTAAACACCTTGTAAAATCAATGAAAAAACTGACATTCCAATAGATGATTCGTTTGTGGTTGCTTTAATGTGACAGTGAAAGTTTGGTGACTTGGTGTTATGGCTAAAGCTAAAATAAATTTGTGAGGTCCTGACTCCTGAATCATTGGGATTGGGAGCGAACTTTGAGATTAATCCAGAATGCAGTAAATAATACCTAGTTTCAAACTTAAAAAAATCCATTCTAAATTCTTGTTCTTTGCTTTTCTTTAATTGACTTAACATTTTATTGCCTAATCATCAAAAGACAAATACCGAACAAAAAATATTCAACTTACGTCTCTGAATTGGACAAGACCTAGTTCACCAAGTTCAGATACACATGCATAAGCGGCCTCACTTTGCAAGAACAGCTGACAAAGCGTCATTTCCGCACTTCGGAACAACGACCCCATTTTGACTAATCGTTTGATAAACTTGCCCTTATTTTAAACAATTAAAAATATGGAATTTGAAGGAGAAACGTAAAAATTACACAACGATAGAAAAACACCCACCCCGCAACCGCGCCACGATCGACCTTCCACAGTCAGCAGCGTCGGCAGCGACAGCGAGACAAATGAATATTTATCAAATAACAAAATGAAATGAAAGTGGCCAGTGTTGCCAATAATGCGAGTTGCCTTAGTTGTTTTTAGTGATGGGAGTACTTGACTTGAGTACAGGAATCGGTAGAATTCGAGTACTGCCGAGCGTCGGAATCGATTTTGATTCTTAATTCGGGTTCAATTTTTTGGACAGTTCTAGAACAAGATCAGTTAATTCGCCGACAGCATAGAATTGCATGAGCATTGGATTTGATGCCACAAATTTAATAAACCCGAACGCATAGATGATCGGGGACTTCGGGCAGTGTAAAGTGTAAATGGAAACGCTCATTCGAGGACGATCGATAGTAGTTGTGTTCCTTTCACACCTAGGAGGAGCTCCGGGGCGTTACGCGCTTATTCCTTTCGAAAAGGGTTTATTGCACCGCGAATCTGCTCCTTGCAAATCGGGGGCGACTAACACCGGAGCGAGTAGCTCGAGTGTGTTAAACTCTTGGCAACTAGTGGTGTGGTCGATCAATCTAACGAATGACTACCTAAATCAACACAACTCTTTTTGAGTTTAGAAAACATTTCATCTAAAGGGATACGATGCGGATGCGGATACGGATACGTAGAAAAATTTGATTCCAAATAGACACTTTAAGCAAACCCTAAATTTTTCTACGCATCCGTAAACACATCGACTTACGTTAACCACCTAATGCCTCATTCTCACTTGCGCGAAATTCGCTCTTTTTGCGCGGAATTCGCTCTTTTTTTGACATTGCTTCGACAATTTGACGTTTTATGCGTGTATCAAACGACAAATTTTCGAAGCAATGTCAAAGAGCGAATTTCGCGCAAGTGAGAATTAAGCTCATAACCGTGAACTTCGCTTTTTTCTGACATTGCTTCGACAATTTGACGTTTGATTCACGCATAAAACGTCAAATTGTCGAAGCAATGTCAAAAAAGAGCGAATTTCGCAGTTATGAGTACTAGGCTTAAAAGTCCTTTTAAGTATCATGGCCATACATTACGTAACGATCGTCTTGGATGAAACGTTTTCTAACCTCAAAAAGTGTTGTATTGATTTTGAAGCTGTGTTTGTAGGTTTCCTTTTTATCTATAATAAGTGTTTATGTTGTCAAAGATATTTTAGTGATAATTGACAGAAAGAACTCTAAATAGTGTCAAATGGTTCAGATACATTTTCGGATACGGATACGGGGCGAGGCCGCAACGTAGAGATGACCAACTCTCATCTCTCTTAAGCCTAGAACGAGGCTGTGCTAGAACTCATAACTGCGAAATTCGCATTTTTTGACATTGCGTTGACAATTTGACGTTTTATGCGTGTATCAAACGTCAAATTGTCGAAGCAATGTCAAAAAAATGCGAATTTCGCAGTTATGAGTACTAGGCTTTACATTGCGTTTCCGGTAACATATTTGACGCAAAAAAATCTGAGGCGTTTTCTCGCGTCCACTTTTTTGAAACTGGTTCAAAACTGTTTCGAGAAACTACATTCTCGCGATAAACCCATGACGTTACGTCAAAATTGGTTCAAACCGTTTCGAAACATAATCCAATCTACGTTTTCAAACCATTAGAGAGTTCTCGTGCTGTCCAAATTTCAAATACCGTAACGCTATTTGACAAGAATGACAGTTTTTACGGTATTAGCGTTAGCGGAGCCCGCTATCTAACGGGACTTAGCGTATGCCTTACCGTAACGCTATGCTATGTCAAGATTAGTTTACGCTCCATTTACGTCTGCAAGAACAGCAACTTCTAATAACTCCTGCATAAAAAACATCAAGGGAAAATTAATCAAACTCAAAATCTTCAGGATAAATAAGTTAAAAAACAAACAAACAAAAGTTAGGTTAGATCACTCAACTCAGCCGTCAAAATGTAAACAGAATAAGGGATTATAAGATTTATGTGTCCGAGAACTATAAAATACCATGTTAAATACCGTATTGTTAACGGTACCGTATTAGCGTAGCGTCTGAAGCACGAGAACTCTCTATTTTCTCGCGCCAAGAAATTATGACGTCATGGTGACATTACTTAAACCAGTTTTAAAAAATGTTTTGAAACATTTGAGACACGAGAAAACGCCTCTAATGTGCGCATGCTTAGTACTAAAGCTCACTTTTCATGCATCCGTTTTTCCGTCCGTCCGTCCGTTGATCCGAGAGTATTCCTATTGGTCCAATATTTTGGCGCCAAAATATTGGACCAATAGGAATACTTCCGGATCAACGGATTGACGAAAAAACGGTAGCATGAAAAGTAAGCTTTATGTTACGTCTTTACGGTTACGTTACGTCCATTGTATAATGGGCTTAAGGCGACGTTCCGTAGTTAACCCAAAAGCCCTTTTCACGTGGCTTTGGTTTAACAAACCGCAACATACCGCTCAAATTCGAGTGGTCTCGATTACACTGGTAAAAGGTAAATAAACCTTTACCTAAAGGTTTTTTTCTACAAACGTGTTAAAAATGCAATTTTTAACACCCCCCCCCCGTAGCATTAAAAATAGTACTTTATCGCACTAGTGCCATAAAGTCTTTATAGCACTAGTGTTAAAAATGAAACATCAAATTTTGAGAGCGAACGTCAAAAAAAGTTTGTATTTTTAGTTATATACATTGATATTAATGGTGAAATTTGAACAACTGAGGTAGCCCGATTGGCCGCCTCATATATATTTTTCAAGGAATCGATGCAACCCTCTTTTTCTTCTGTATTTTGTTGTATTTTTAGCAAGAAGCATTACTGACCACGACAGGAACTGACAAGACATTTCATTACCTGTAAAACAAGGTGCTGGTTGTTTGGATTTTTTGACAAATGTCAAATTCAATAATGTTATGTAGGAAAGATGCTTCCAATTTATTATTCATTTAAAAATCTAATTTGTTACTGGGCATTGTTTTTTATTGCCGTTTGTAGAAAAAATATTGTATGATATTTGTGTTAAAAGTATTTTTAAGGAACATGTGAATTGCAGAATTCGCTTCGCTCATTCTGCAAACTTTCACATGCGTGCCTTAAAAATGTACTTTTAACACTTATATCATAAATAACACTATTTTAGCGACTAACCGTTTGTAACCGTGTTATAAACGGTAACTGAAATAATTAATAATTATAAACTAGATAATGAATTTCCACCTTGTAACAGCCAGCGCCGCAACTAGAACCCTCGGCGCCCAAGGCAATTCCAAATTTTGGCGCCCCTCCACCGCGGAAATATTGGCAGAAATTTTTCAAATTTGTATGTACGGTACATGTGAACAAAAACAAAACAAACTGCACTGCCAGTGCAGCACTGGCTCTCCACGAGTCTTTCTAGCTCATGCCAAAAAATGCGCACTGATAATTGCACTGGATTTCAAATGGAAAATAAAAACTGATAATGTGCAGTCAAATGGAATGTAAAAACTGCATTGAGTACACCTCCGTGCAACAAATAGAAAACGCCATTATTTTATCGCGAACAGTTTTGGAACGAGTTCTCCAGACTGTCTTTTTTAGGTACGATTTGTTAGGACAGTGCGCGACGCAAAACCAGAGATCGCAAAACTCACAACGTAAACGTCGGCAGAATCTGTTCAGCCAATGACATTTGTTCAGCACGACGTACACCAGTTCTCTGACGTGTACGTCGCGGTCACCTGCGCAAAACCAACAAACCTATCTATTTCATTACATTCGCTTGATTATAGCAGACGTGCGCGGCGTTCAACAGAATGTGAGTTGTGCGTCGCGAATGCCCTAACAAACTGTACCTTAAAGCCGGAGTCTCATGCATACAATTTTCGACGAAAGATGTCCGATTTTTCGGCCTAATACGTAAACGAATGTTAGTGTCAATCCTGAAGTTCTTGCTAAAATCCCAGGACCGCTAGAACTGGTTCAGAAACGGTTTCGAACCGATTCTGGTTGATCCGCGAATCCAGAACCGTAACTAAAAGTTCGGAATTTTGTGATCCACGAACGCCATTACTTGAACTGCGCATGCGAAATAGTTTCGAACCAGTTCAGAATCCTTACTGCGAACGAAGCTATTGTAGAAGTGAAAGCTGTTTACGGAAACTAAGATCGGGTTAACCCGATCGCCAGCAGACGTATTTTGTCTTTTTTCAATCTTATTCATTAAGGAAAGATAGAAAAAGTTTCCGTAAACGGCTAAATAGAAAAGAGTCGAAAGAGATAATGCATGCAGCATGCAGAGGGCGCCCACGTCGCCCACAATGCTCTTGCTCAGTTTGGTCGGATCAAAGCTCGACTCGAAGCTAATCTCTGGCTAACGAATGTTGGGCGTTACGTCATCGATACTTGAATTTATCACAGACATTGCAATTTGCTGCTGCCTTTTGCACGCGCACTGTGTTTAACTTAATTTATATGATTACTATCGATATTCGTAGCAAAGAGAGATATAACAAAAGCAAAATAAATTTCCGTCTTACGACAAATGACGCGTAAAACCGTTGCATTTTTGGATTGTAAAATATGGATGGATTAAATTAGGCGCCTTCGGCGCCCCGATGCTGCGGCGCCCTAGGCGGGTGCCTAGTTCGCCACCCCCTAGTTGCGGCCCTGGTAACAGCCGATTCAATAAAAATGGTAACTGAAAATCTCTAACCGTTGAAATTTTAGCGGGGCAGCGGTAATAGGGGAAGTTATGACGACAATAGAGAAAATCAATGATGTCACGCATTTATAACACGGTATTAAATTCAGTAACCTATGCAGGACCTGGGTTACTGGCGGCATGGCGGTTATAGAACATTTGACAGTTGGATTTTATTCAAATTTCCAAATATGGGCGTTTGGGTTTGTTTACCTTACTCTAACGTCAAACCCGAAAATTAGATTATTATTGCGGGACATGGACGTGGGTTTCTGGGTTGTTAGTTTAAACGTAAAAGATGAAAAAAACGCTCAGTAAGGTAGAACGTACGTGTAGTATCCAATCTATTCCTTGGAGATCCGGGCGACCAACATGGCAGAAAATATTGAAATTTTAACTGAAGTAGGTAACTTTAA